CGCAAGAAGCACGAGGAGGCCGTGCTGGCCGTGGCCTTCCACCCCCGGCGCGCCCTCAGCGCCAGCGCCGGCGCCGACGCCCTCGCCAAGGTCTTCGTGTGACGGCCCCGCCCCTGGGGGTGGCACCGGGGGGCACCGGGGGGCCTCCTGAGAGCACCTGGAGGGACCTGGTTTGGTGGCACCGCTGGGACTCGGTCACCTGGCTCGGGGGTGACACGTGTGAGGTGGCACCAGGTGGCACTGGGTGGCCTCAGTGGCCTCCTGAGAGCACCTGGAGGGACCTGCTTTGGTGGCACCGCTGGGATTTGCTCACCTGGCTCGGGGGTGACACGTGTGAGGTGGCACCGAGTGGCCTCCTGGAAGCACCTGGAGGGACCCAGGGGGTGGCACCGGCAGGACTTGGTCTCCTGGCCCGGGGGTGACACGTGTGAGGTGGCACTGGGTGGCACCAGTAGCCTCCTGAGAGCACCTGGAGGGACCTGGTTTGGTGGCACCGCTGGGATTCGCTCACCTGGCTCGGGGGTGACACGTGTGAGGTGGCACCGAGTGGCACCAGGTGGCCTCAGTCACCTCCCTCAGCCCTGGAGGGACCAGGGGGACACAAGTCAGGTGGCACCGGGTGGCCTTGGTGGCCTCCTGAGAGCACCTGGAGGGACCCAGGGGGTGGCACCGACAGGACTTGGTCACCTGGCATGGGGGTGACACAAGTCAGGTGGCACCAGGTGGCACTGGGTGGCCTCGGTGGCCTCCTGGAAGCACCTGGAGGGACCTGGTTTGGTGGCACTGACAGGACTTGGTCACCTGGCATGGGGGTGACACAAGTGAGGTGGCACCGATGGGATTCGGTCACCTCCCGGGGACCAGGGGGACACGTGTGAGGTGGCACCAGGTGGCACCAGGTGGTCTCAGTCACCTCCCTCAGCCCTGGAGGGACCAGGGTGACACAGGTGAGGTGGCACTGGGTGGCCTTGGTGGCCTCCTGGAAGCACCTGGAGGGACCTGGTTTGGTGGCACCGCTGGGATTTGGTCACCTGGCCCGGGGGTGACACGTGTGAGGTGGCACCAGGTGGCACCGGGTGGCCTTGGTGGCCTCCTGGAAGCACCTGGAGGGACCTGCTTTGGTGGCACCGCTGGGATTTACTCACCTGGCTCGGGGGGTGACACAGGTGAGGTGGCACCGGGTGGCACCAGGTGGCCTCTGTCACCTCCCCCAGCCCCAGAGGGACCAGGGTGACACAGGTGAGGTGGCACCAGGTGGCACCAGGTCACCTGCCCCTGTCAGTGCCATCCCTGGGAGTGCCCCTGTCCCTGTCCCCTGGGGGTGACACAGGTGAGGTGGCACCGGGTGCCCTCTGTCACCTGCCCCTGTCAGTGCCACCCCTGGGGGTGACACAGGTGAGGTGGCACCGGGTGTCCTTTGTCACCTGCCCCTGTCAGTGCCATCCCTGGGGATGACACAGGTGAGGTGACACAGGTGAGGTGACACAGGTGAGGTGGCACCGGGTGGCACCAGGTGCCCTCTGTCACCTGCCCCTGTCAGTGCCATCCCCGGGGGTGACACAGGTGAGGTGGCACCAGGTGTCCTTTGTCACCTGCCCCTGTCAGTGCCATC